TCAACATTCACCTTCACTGGAAGTGTTGCTTTCAACATTCACCTTCACTGGAAGTGTTGCTGTCAACATTTACCTTCACTGGAAGTGTTGCTTTCAACATTCACCTTCACTGGAAGTGTTGCTTTCAACATTCACCTTCACTTGAAGTGTTGCTTTTAACATTCACCTTCACTGGAAGTGTTGCTTTCAACATTCACCTTCACAGAAAATATTGCTTTCAACCTTCACCTTTACAGAAAATATTCCTTTCAACCTTCACCTTCACAGAAAGTATTGCTTTCAACCTGAACCTTCACTGGAAGTGTTGCTTTCAACCTTCACCTTCACAGAAAGTGTTGCTTTCAACCTTCACCTTCATAGAAAGTGTTGCTTTCAACCTGAACCTTCATTGGAATTTTATCAAGTAAAAAGTGTTTCCAGTGCGAAGGTGAAAAAAATACCCTATATTGATCTAAATACCCAGTAGGTAGTTTCTAGTTATTTAGTGATTATTACTCTGGTACATTCATATATATGTGACAGGCTGGTCTGGTAGCTTATTCTGTACACAACTATGAGTCTGTTAGCCTTCAGACATTTGATTACAGATCGCTTAATGCCATGTACATAATAGGAAAAGTAAATGTTACACTAGGGGTTCAACTCCCACGTTCGAACACACACAGCATCATTCCTTCAGTCTTAGGCCGGATACATTAACAATGTTATTCTTACAGCCCCAAATATATTACTCTAACTTACTGTTTCTGTGTTACATTATGATGTCATTGTGATAAGAGGAATAAAGCAGTGGTATCATAAATCTGACAATGGTAACAAGGATGTGACAAGATTATGACAGAGTATGAAAGTGGCAAGATTGTGATCAGAATTTGACCAGATAACAAGAATGTGACAAGGGTAATAATAATGTGACACGGATAACAATAATATGATAAGGGTAACAATAATGTGACAATGGTAACAATAATGTGACAAAGGTAACAGTAATGTGACAAAGGTAACAGTAATGTGACAAGGATAACAATAATGTGACAAAGGTAACAGTTATGTGACAAGGGTAACAATAATGTGACAATGGTAACAATAATGTGACAAAGGTAACAGTAATGTGACAAGGATAACAATAATGTGACAAAGGTAACAGTTATGTGACAAGGGTAACAATAATATGACAAGGATAACAGTAATGTGACAAGGATAACAGTAATGTGACAAAGGTAACAATAATATGACAATGGTAACAATAATGTGACAAGGGTAACAATAATGTGTAATGATGCTATCAGAATTACCTCTGGGGATCTGGTCCCACCCCACACCCCAGAGGACTTGGTCCTATGACATGGGGATCTGGCCCCACCCCACACCCCAGAGGACTTGGTCCCATGACATGGGGATCTGGCCCCACCCCACACCCCAGAGGACTTGGTCCCATGACATGGGGATCTGGCCCCACCCCACACCCCAGAGGACTTGGTCCCATGACATGGGGATCTGGCCCCACCCCACACCCCAGAGGACTTGGTCCCATGACATGGGGATCTGGCCCCACCCCACACCCCAGAGGACTTGGTCCCATGACATGGGGATCTGGCCCCATCCCACACCCCAGAGGACTTGGTCCCATAACATGGGGATCTGGCCCCACCCCACACCCCAGAAGACTTGGTCCCATGACATGGAAAAGACTAGGACTCACACTCTATTACCATATGAACATATATATGAATCTAAAACATATATTTGCCAAGAAACAGCCTTGGTCCTTGGGACCTGTGAATCAAATGGGTTTGTTTTGACTTTCAGTGTTCTGTTCAATACTTGGCTCCCAAAAAGGACATATTTGCAATGCTTTCTTGATGAGAATTTTTGTACATAATTGCTTAAATATCAGCATAAGCTAGACAGTTCCTTTGGGCCTGGTTTTTTTTATACTTTTTAGTCTTGATTGGATAACATCTTTATGAACATGTAAAATTCAAACTTCTCTCTATTTCTGAAACAGTGTCAGTTTTGATAATACCACTTCCATTTTAATTGTGCTGTATTGACAACATTGCATTAAAATTTATCTTTTAGTAATACATGTAAATGGCTATGCTTTGGTCATATACATGATTTAATATGTGAATCCAACAGTCTTTAATCCTTTCTGTACCGAAACAAGACAGGATGACATGAATTGTCTCCTTTTGAAAACGGTAAACAAGGACTTGTACTTGATCTGTATATTGTTTCTGCAGGTACTATATATACTGTAATAAACTAAAATACTTGTTTTTATCTTTTCAGAGTAACAAATAGCCAGATAGAATTTTTCAAAATGCTGGATGAAAAAATAGAACAGGTAAAGTTTTCTTTTGGACTCACGACCATTTTCCATTCTTGATCCCCATAATGTTACCACCTCTATATATTGGGATAGGGGTTATAAAATGTATTGTTGACAGAATTTATGATACACAGCAAATTTGATGAAGTATTCTGAAAACTATAAAATCATGAAAAGTGTAGCTCTGAAAAGAATAGTTTAAAAAAAAAATGATTTCATTCATTTCTTTTAATTGCATTGGTTGGTAGGTTTATTTTAAGGCAGTACAGTGGAAATGAAAATATTGTTATACTTGTGACTGTAAAACTGTGACTGTAACTGTAAAACTGTGACTGTAAAACTGTTTAAATTATATATTAACATGTTGGGTGTGGGTTTTTTTGCAGGGTCAGGAATTCACGTCGGAAGAAGATGTGTCACAGACTAGTGATCAGGCTACCACAGACAATTTTAGGAAATATACGCAATGATACTCATCTTTTATATTAAACATTATCATAGGTCAAAGGTCAAGGCTGGCCTTATACCTAGATCACGTGGTGTACTAAACAAAGGTATCTTTAAAAGATCAAAGTTCCTGACACGGATGTCATTACATATGTTTGGTTCTGTTGGACATCATAACAAATGGTGTTACGATGGCGTTTATATTTTCTCGTTTGTCACGCAATAGTTCATATTCCTGGTGCAAGAGACATTTCAAAGCTGCGATGACGAGGTGCAATGACATGGTAGAGGATAGATGCAATGACTATATAAATTATTGTTAATATGTACTACTGTGCTCAATTAGTAGTTTTTTATTTTCCTTATGTTTTATTTTACACTTGCTACATCACTCAGTTTTTTTAAATAGTTCTGATCTCCGATCGGATGGTGCAATCATGATGCATTTTGGTGAATATTTGTAAGTAAATGTATTGTGTTTACAAGATTTAACATTTGTGCCACCGAACAAGTCTGTAAACCGCTGACTTCTTCTCCTCCCTGTAGAAATAGGTATAACTAAAGCCTCACTGGCTGTCAGTATGTATAGCTACACTTCACGCTGGCTGTCCATCATGATGCTACACTTCACATTGTGTGTCAAACGTGAAGCTAAACTTCCGGCTGGCTGTCAAGCGTGAAGCTAAACTTCCGGCTGTCTGTCAAACGTGAAGCTACACTTCACACCAGCAGTCAAAAATGTAGCTAAACATCCCACTGGCTGTCAAACGTGAAGCTATACTTCACACTGACTGTCAAACGTGAAGCTACACTTCACACTGACTGTCAAACGTGAAGCTATACTTCACACTGACTGTCAAACGTGAAGCTATACTTCACACTGACTGTCAAACGTGAAGCGTATGAAGCTATGCTTCACGCTGGCTGTCAAACGTGAAACTATACTTCACAATGACTGTCAGACGTGTAGCTATACACTTCACTCTGGCTGTCAAACATGAAGCTACACTTCACACTGTGTGTCAAATGTGAAGCTACATTTCACACTGGCTGTCAAACATGAAGCTACACTTCACTCTGGCTGTCAAACGTGAAGGTATACTTCACATTGACTGTCAAACATGTAGCTAAACTTCACTCTGGCTGTCATACCTGAAGATATACTTCACACTGATTGTCTAATGTGAAGCTACACTTTACTCTGGCTGTCAAAGGTATAGCTATACACTTCACTCTGGCTGTCAAACGTGAAGCTATACTTCACACTGACTGTCAAACATGTAGCTAAACTTCACTCTGGCTGTCATACCTGAAGATATACTTCACACTGATTGTCTAATGTGAAGCTACACTTTACTCTGGCTGTCAAATATGAAGCTACACTTTACGCTGGCTGTGAAACGTGAAGCTACACTTAACACTGTGTGTCAATCGTGAAGCTATACTTTACACTGTGTGTCAAATGTGAAGCTACACTTCACTCTGGCTGTCAAACATGAAGCTATACTTCACACTGACTGTCAAATGTGAAGCTATACTTCACATTGTGTGTCAAATGTGAAGCTACACTTCATACTGTGTGTCAAATGTGAAGCTACACTTCAATGTGGCTGTCAAACATAAAGCTACACTTCACACTGACTGTCAAACGTGAAGTGTAACCACACTTTACACTGACTGTCAAGCATGTAGTCATACTTCACATAAGCTGTCAGATTAAAATGCACCAAATTTTGTCATTAATAGTTCTGAAAAAAATAATTATGCAATATTTTCGAAGCATACATATATGATAGATGTAATGAGATGTAGAATTATTCTCAAAGGAGAAAATGAATATTACTTTACTAGCATTGATTTCTATCCCATGTTATTTCATGGTTCAGCAAACATTACATTTTCGTTAATCAGGAAAAGCTAGGCCTGGGATAACAGTTAGAACCTATACTCTGTGTAACAGTCTGGTGTAGCATTAATGTAGATGATGCAATATTGAAATTGAAACAAATTGTTTTTAAGTCAAGAGTCTTCTATTCCTTAACTCAGAATCAGAGGGTGTGTATGACCTAATATCTGGCTGTAGACATTTACTATATCAAACATTATAGTCCAATTTTGTTTAAAAAAAGTATACATATACATTTCATATTTCATATACATGTATTTCAATTTTACATTGTTTATGCATGTTTAACTTTTTAGGTCACCTGAGACAAAGTCTCAAGTGACCTATTGCGATCGCCTTTTGTCCGTCGTCCGTCGTGCGTCCGTAAACAATTTACGTTTTTGACTTCTTCTCCAAACCCTTGAACCAATTTCAATGAAATTTTGCAGGAACCTTCCATGGACAAAGGTCAACAAAAACAGTGGCCGGTTTAGTCCCAATCCCCCAGGGGCCTGAGGGGCGGGGCCAAAATGAGTCAAATTGACTAAAATTTAAAAAATCTTCTTCTCAAAATCCAGACATGGTAGAATCAAATACTTTTCATAGATGGAAGGGTCTTAATGTGCTTTACCAAAATTGTAAATTTCTTGACCCTGGGGTCTCACATTTCCCCCTGGGGAGGGGGTAAACTTTACTATAGTTTATATAGGGAAATCACATTTTGGACCAACATTTGTTTAATTTCCATTGGAAGTAATTCAATTTGGGTTAGCATTATCAGTATTAGGTAGCAGTTTGATAGTATGCACCTATGAGCCCTGACTGACCCCCAGGGGCTGATGGGTGGGGCCAAAAAGGGTTGAATTGACTGAAATTTCAAAAATCTTCTTCTCAAGACCCAGATATGGTAGAATCAAATACTCTTCATAGATGGAAGGGTCTTAAGGTGCTTTACCGAAATTGTGAATTTCTTGACCCTGGGGTCTCACGTTTCCCCCTGGGGAGGGGGTAAACTTTACTATAGTTTATATAGGGAAATCACATTTTGGACCAACATTTGTTTAATTTCCATTGGAAGTAATTCAATTTGGGTTAGCATTATCAGTATTAGGTAGCAGTTTGATAATAAGCACATATCAGCCCTGACTGACCCCCAGGGGCTGATGGGTGGGGCCAAAAAGGGTCGAATTTACTGAAATTTCAAAAATCTTCTTCTCAAGACCCAGATATGGTAGAATCAAATACTCTTCATAGATGGAAGGGTCTTAAGGTTTATGACCCTAGGGTCTCACGTTTACCCCCTGGGGAAAGGGGGGGGGGGGGCAAAATTTATTATGGTTTATAATGGCAAATGATACTTTGAATATTACATGTTAATAACTTGATCCGAATTATAACCTTGAGTTGACAGTTTGATACTTTGAAAAATTTGAGCCAGCCCTACCCCCAAGGGCTGTAGGGTGGGGCCCAAAGGAGTCAGCATGCTAAAATTTCTTCATTTTCCTTGTTTAGAATCAGAGGTGCTAGTTTCAAATACTTTTTAGTCTGAAATCTGTATGCTAGATATTGAATAAGGTGGTTTTATTGTTTTTTGTCACTTTGAATAATATTTCTGTTCATGTTAAAAACAAAATCAACTCTCTGTATAAATATATCAGGTGACCGTTAAGGCCAATGGGCCTCTTGTTTTTCTCCTTGCAATAGAATTACTTAATTCTATTGATAAACAAATGGTGCAAAATGTGGTTCAATGTCTCAAGTCAATTAAGCATCCTCATCTAATTACCATAAAGCTACCATAGACATTTTTGTCCACACATTTACTTTTACAGGTACCCTATATCTGTCAACCCTCCAGCTTTTTGGGGCTGGGTCTCCCAATTTTTACCCTAAATTGCTACTTTTGACATAAGCATAATTCCTAATCATTGCTTCTACATGAAACTCAAATGAGAGAACTGCATAGAAAAGCATAATACACTATTTTCCAATAGGGTTTGGTCATATTAGGCATTTTAGGGTTATTACATTTAAAAACGTTTACTATGCATTTTTTTTCCCTCCATTTTTACAAAGTTGACAAGTATGACAAGTACTTTGTGTGTAAGTTACAGTGAGTCTGTTACGTAAACTGGCAACTTTTAAAAGGACTTGGAAGCAAGGAATCATAGTCACGTCTATGTTTTGCAATGTCAAAAGAAAATTTTACTGTAACAACGAGTCTTTGAAATAGTACACACATTTTTGTGTCCCCTAAGGTGCAATGCTGACATGTAGAGATCACTGTGTCGTTATTATTAAGGTTTTTGTGCAATAACTCTTGAACAGGAAAGCATTGATTTTCAACTTCATATAAATACTTATATAGTATATCAATCATCCACTGCTATAAGATTAAATTTCCCCTGGATAGGAAATTGGCCACCAGCACTAGTTTCTGTGTGATATTATTCTAGAAAGATGATTTTGATTTTCATGAAGTTTCCAACAAATACTCAAATTTCAGTGACTGTCTTAGATTTTTGCATCTAAAGTTTTGCATACAAAGATTTTCATGGGACAACTCATGAAGAAATGCTGTAATTTTCAGGAAACTTCCTACAAATACTTAAAAAATAAGTTACCCCATCAAATTTAATTTTGAGTTAAGCCAAAATCCCATATAATGGTCATCTTGGGTGTCCTACAGATATGTATCCAAATGGTGTCTTTTGAAGCAATTATCAAATTACAATGAATATTGCTTAGTATATACACTTTCTACCCAAGTCCCGTGCTCAAGTTTGATGCTGGGTGTAATTCCGAATATTTAATGATGCTGCTCTGATCTGATCATTAACACAACAGTGAAGATAAGTCAAACATGTATTAAAAAAGACCGCTTGCCAGTGAAGTCCAAATAGTGGTCCCTTAACACAGGTGGTCCCTTGACACAGGTGGTCTTTTAACACAGGTGGTCTTTTAACACAGGTGGTCTTTTGACACAGGTGGTCTTTTAACACAGGTGGTCCCTTAACACAGGTGGTCCCTTAACACATGTGATCTTTTAACACAGGTGGTCTTTTAACACAGGTGGTCCCTTAACACAGGTGGTCCCTTAACACAGGTGGTCTTTTGATACAAAGTCTGTTAACAATGAAATCACCACAGTAGGGAGCATTTAACATTTCAAGAAATCTCTTAACTCATTCACCCCTGAAATTTCACAATGAACTATTTCAACCTATGAATTGGAAGATTTCAAATGTGTCCTCAGGGGTGAATGATTTGTCCTGGTTTGACTATATTCCATCTTACTCCTTCATCTTGAGTAAAATGTAATCGGCCAGTATTCCATCTAAGCTAAGACGCATCCACTTCTGTGGAATTCAAGTTCATTGTAGATTTGTCTCTGAGATTATATTGAAAGAAATGTTGTAAAAATTCTCAGAAAAATTTACCTAAGGATAATATTTTGAGTTGACAAATTTTAAATGAAATCCATTAAAATGTGACAATTTTATCTCAGTACTGATGTATACATTGTACAAGTGTTTATAAATCAGATTAAGGTATATAATTGTATATCAACCCTTTCACCACTGTAGACCATAATGGACTCATTCAAATCAATGCATGAGAGAGTCTACTCAAGTTACATACGGGTGGAAGGGTTAGAAACAGGACTTTCTCTATATAGTACATGAAATATCTTCCATATCTGGTCTTAACTGGTGTAAGACTGTTCATTATCATTCCATTGTTTTGTACTTGTATTATTCTTAGTCCCAATAGAAAAGATATTTGTCGCAGGTATTGTCTAAATATACTGATGAGTAATTATAGATGCTGGTGATTTTACCTGTACATTTTAACAATGTATCTCGATTGAATCAGCTATGATATGTAAAAAGCCAAAGATTTAAACAGTTTTTTTTACGTATCATTTAATTATAATTTATAGCTTATTCTTAAACCTTTATATGTATCAAAT